AGATCATATATTGACATTTTGTGCCGATATCCACTCCTTGTAACTTGAATGGAAATCTTCTTCTTCTCTTTGTCCAAATCTTTGAACTGTAAGGATTGGCGATAATCACTTGTTGCTGTGACAAATACAACCAACAAAATACTTGCAACAATTCCAAGACCATCATGAGCCCCCTTCGGCCATCCTTCCATTGCTAGACCAACTATCAAAGAGACAAATGCACACACACCGAGGATCATGAGAGTCATGTCTTGAAGGGCTTCCCAAACAAATACCCAAAAACTGCGTGCTTCACTTTCGGTGAATTTATTGATTCCGAAAATCTCCTGTCTGCGATTAAGCAAATTAGTATCGGTAGTGAGGCCATTGTCGGTTGATGCAGAGAGCTTTTCTGCAATACCAGATACACCGCCATGAAATTTCAGCTTTTTTAGATCATGGCCTTCAACAACCGATCCCAGTTCATCGGCACAAATGTTAAAACCAGCTGCTTTAACTTCCTCAGGTACAACGTAATCACTCGGTTGCACACCTGCAGACACACCATGACAAGTGTCAATCCAAGAAATCTTTTATTATGACAAAATATAACTCAAAAGTGTGAATAGCCTCACCTTGGATGAACTGAAATGCAGCTTTGGAAACCAGAACTGCAATTCTCAACTTCTCCTATAGCACGAAAGACGAAGGAGAGTTTTAATTGCAAGCATAGTGTAACAAGCTCTTAACACACAAAATTAGAGCTCACTTTTATCACTTTTTGTCATACATACAAAAGTAACAAGCTCTTAACACACAAAATTAGAACTCACTTTTATCACTTTTTGTCATATAATACATACAAAAGTAACAAGCTCTTAACACGCAAAAGATAAATATTTGAAGAAAATATAATGTGGTTGTGGTTTTGAGATGTGGGTTTTATATAATAGAATAGATTAGAAGTTGAGCACAAGCAACTCGTGTGTGAAGAAATATAAGATAACTGTAATTGTCATTTGAAAAAAGAATTTGAATGCAGGTGAAGAAAAAATTGAAATAAACTCATAAGTTCACCAATTAAAAAAGCAGTTATTGTAAGGAAGGCATTAAACTTTCTGGCCTGAAAGTGCATATACAATAACTGGAATCCACAAAGTACCCAATTAAACTTGAAAAAAATAGCCCATGTTTTGTTTGCCTATAAATCTGTAAATTACAATAGAAAAGGGCAATGATACAGACCACTAAAAGTGGTGCTCTAAGGTCATCTCCAACCGTTCACCAAATCCAACATCAAATTCAAATTTGATGAAAAAAAGGTACTTTTTGTGCTCCAACGGTTGCACCAAAACAGTATCAAATTGAGAAAACATCAAACGTTTTACCAAACTGAGAACGGCTTGCCCCTTTCACCAATTCACTGCGCATAGCCGTTGACCCCTTTAAAGCAGAAATTTGTGAAAATTTTACACTAGGGGTCGACCACCCGGTTGACCACCGGTCGACCACCTTAGTTTTTTTCAAAGCAACAGAAATGAAGGCAAAAACGTCAAATTTCCTCTCACCAGTTGACCGGCCGGTCGACCCCCGGACGACCCTCTCTGTTTGATGCACGCTACAGTAAACGGTTGGAGCTGTTGGTATCAGAATGAGAAAATTGGCTTTTTTTTACTCAAATTTGGTGAAAAATTTGTTCAACCGTTGGAGATGCTCTAAAGCAACCACTAATGATATGGCACCTGTCCTGTATTATGTTAATTAATCTTACTTACGATCGTGATTATGCTCGTGATTATGCTCTTAAGATGATTTTGAGTGTCATTTATATGATTACGTGTCTTTTTGAATTTCTATCAAAATTGATTGTATTTTTGTGCTTAGCGTTTCTTTTATACAATGACAAACACACACACACACACAGAGACAAGGAAAGAAAAGAATAGAGGCAAACGTAGATTCATACACCACACAAACATAGATACAAACACATTGTGTATGTATATAAATGCATACCTGATTCGTGCGGCGCATGGCAGCAGCCTCGTAACGCTTGGAGAGATTGGCGGTGAATCGGAACCTGCGCTTGGGGTTCTTCACCACTCCACAGAGATCTCTCCATTTATGCAACACCTCCTCCGACGAATGCTTCGGCTTCACAGCCCCAAATTCTTCATTCAAAAAGCTCTCCATCACTCGTCTTTCCCAGATCAGCTCCTTTCCCTTTCTATTCGACCGTTAATCTCCGCTCATTCAAATTCAAATATATATAGCCAAAAAAAAGTAACAGAGGGAAACTACGAAGAACAAGTCAACAAAACATTAAAATTATTGCTTCGTTAAAGGACAGGCAATGAAAAGAAGAAGAAGTTTCCATGGCATTGTCTTCGAATCACGAGTACAGAGACGCGTAAAGGGAGTGGGTGTGGGTGTCGTGTGGGTCCAGAAAACACAAAAATGCACAAGAATTTCTTCAAATTTGAGTCTTCTCGTTCAGTTTCCCAGACAGAAGGAAAAGGAGGAACAGGAAATGAATGAGGAGAGAAGATGATCCGAAATTGTAGTGAGGGACTGAAGACAGTGGAAGGGAGCTATCAACCGTCCTTCCTACTTTCCTGGGTCAAACTTATTTTAAGAATACTATTAGTTAATCCACTTTTAAAAATATTTATTATTTTAAATTTGTTAATAAATATCTTTTAATGAACCTCATCAAATAAGAAAGACTATTTCAAACTTATTTTTTATTCTTACAAAGAGGTAAGAAAGACTACTTTACTAAAAATTACCATTCCATTAGTTTTGTAGTTTTATGTTTTATATTCTATTATGTTAGTACCTACTTTCATAAAAAAAAGGACAAATTACAAATACCCCTCGGGCTTTAGTGAAAATATAGATTTTTTTCTGAGATTTGAGAAATTACATTCCGCCCTCATGAGGTTTATATTTTCATAACAAATTGCCTTCTGAGGTTTTTATTTTCATACAGATTCTCCCATAATTTTTCCTAATTTGTTATGAAAATTTGCCCTTCAGGAGACAATTTGTAATTTCTCAAACCTCAGAGGAATCTGTATTTTTACCAAATCTCGAGGGAGTATTTATAATTTGCCCTAAAAAAAAACATGTACCTAATTTTTTTCTTTAAAATTATTGTTAACAAAATTTTATAACTTATAGGCTATTTTGAAAAGTGGATTAAAAGTCACTTCCTGACTTTTAACCCATTTTCATCTCTCACAAAAAAGTCAAAGGAAAATGACTCGTAGCTCGAATTCAGTGGCCCGAATTCGGCTCGAAACCCAAAACGACGTCGTTTTAGGTTTCGATTTTTTTTTTCCCTACCTTTTCTTTCTCTTCCTTTTCTTTCTTTCTTTTCTTCTTCTTCTTCGTTGAACACAGGAGAAGAGCAGAGGAAGAAGAGAGGAGAAGAGAAAGAGGAGGAGAGAGGGAGAAAGAGAGAGGAGGAGAGGAGATCGTCGCAACACCCCCGCCGTCGCCTCCGGCCCCGCCTCCGCCTCCACCTCCTCCTCCTCCTCCGCCTCTTCCTCCCCCTGTGATTATGCCCCCTCTAGTCCTCCTCCTTCCTCCTCCTCCTCTTCCTCTTCCTCCTTCTGTTCTTCTTCTTCTTTCTTCTTCTTCTTCTCCGAATTCGAGCCAAATTCGAGCCTCCAAATTTGAGCTACCTATCGGAACCGAAAGTCAAAAAAGGTCAAAAAGTAACTTTTAATCATCTTCCCAAAACATCTCAATATTTGGAGTTCATCATCCGTCGTCAGTACGGCTTGAACACGACTTTCACTGGGGTGATACAATAATATAATAATATTACATTATTAAAATTTCAATTTGATATTCATCTCCTAATCCTATTATTTGTTTGAATCTCTAGCGTTGTACATAATAAATTAATGAATATATTAGTTAAAAAACAACAAATATTGAATATTTTGTTTTTACGAATTAACCCAATTAGAATGATCATTAGTGAATATATGCTACATTTGTTTACGAGAAAAGATGGGTGAGATTTTATTGATGACCTTCTGAGGTCATACATTTCATGTTTCTGTCACAAAGAAATAACAAAAATCTAGATTTGGATTGGATAAATTGTACTAGGCACAAAATAATTTTCTAAGAGTGTCTTTAATGGTTTATCATCGGAGCTGTCATTGCTATAATAGAACAACAGTGGTGCTTCAATGATGAATATGACAACTGTCAAATTTGACAAATTCCAAAGTTTGTGTCAAATTTGACACAAGTTTTGACAGTTGACATATTCACCAACTCAAGCAAAACAACTATTTCTCTCCCTCCCTTCCTGTCTCCCAGTAAAATAGATAAATTTTTTCAAAATTGTCATTTTTGCAGAACCAAACACAGAAACTGGTATGTTCGGTCGAGCACACCAGTTTTTGTGTTTGGTTCTAAATAACATTTAACCATTGGAACACCATAATTATAATTTTATCAATTTTTATTATTTATTGTCAAATTATATCAATAATAATATTATTATAATATTTACCATTAGAGTGTTTTAAAGTGATATGGAAAAAAAAAAAAGTGATATGAAAAATTCAAAACAGATTGAAAAGTGATACGATGCTATTAGCCCTCTCCTTGGTAAACAAATGTTTTTTTTTCCTCACAATTTTCAGTCCTTGCCAAAGCCAAAAGTGCAAGCCTGAAAAGTGAGGAAAAAGAGGCCTCAAGGGGGTGAAGGCGGGAGTAGAGATACGGAGAAATTGTTTACAATTTACAAACAACTTATTGGTTACTGGATTGTTTCATTCTTGTTGGTTTCATCCGAGTTTCCAAAGCAACTTACTTATTTGGACAAATTACGCTTTCGGCTTTTATAGTTTGAAATTTGTGTTATTTCAGTTATTGATTTTTTAATTGTGACATATTTAATTTTAATTTTTAAATTTTATTCTGAATAATAATATCTAAATAAAAATAATTGAAGATATTATTATTCAATTTCAATAGTAAAGTCGTCAATTTGATAAAATATAAATCAATTTAATAAAAATATATGTCATAAAAATATTTTTTAATTTTTAAAAATTATTTATATCCACTAAAGATAAAATTATGTGAAATTGATAAATCTTTTATATATTTATTTTTTTTACCAAATTATTTTTTATTATGTGTTTGGATGATAATTATGTAATGGATGATTATTTTTATTTTTATTAAATTAGTTTTTATTTTTTCAAAACTCAAATATGGTGACAATTTTGATATCATTATTAAATCAATCCATTAAATCAAAAATTCCAAAACTAAAAACATTTCATATATTAAATATATTGATTACACATTAAAAACCTAACAACTATACATTACATGATCATCATCCAAACATATAATAAAAATTAATTTGGTAAAATAAATAAATGAGTAAAAAATTTATCAATTTTACATAATTTTATTTTTTGATGGGTAAAATTAATTTTTAAAAATTTAAAAACTTTTTTATCAAATTAATTTATATTTTATCAAATTGACGATTTTGTCCTTGAAATTGAATAATGGTATCTTCAATTGTCCTAATTTAAAATAAAATTCAAAATTTAAAATTAAATGTGCCGTAATTAGGAAAGTCAGAAATCAAAGTGATATGAATTCCACACTATACAAATTGTTAGTGTAATTAGCCCCGCTTGTTTTGACTTAAGGTTACGGATGGAGCCAATCAAAGGCCTAATTGACTATTAACTTAGCCTAAAAATTGAAATGCAGATTAGTGCGAAAATCTATATAGTTCCCAAAATATTTTGAAAATTCAACGCTTAAAATTTGTTCAAGAACCATCGAAATCTCATTTGCCTTAGACTATTACCATAATAAAAAATAAATAAAAGAGAGTTTTATGAAAGACTGGATCCAATTGATTCAGTTTACAAAGAAAGGGCCATGTTCCAACAACTACAAATAATAAAGAATCTGGCTTCCTTCTAATCCCAGATCGGATGGAGGATACTGTTAGATTCGTGAAAATTCATTGCCGGTTCCGTTTCGATAATCTAAACTGTTCAATGTATAAAATTTATTGAGTACTATATGCTTATAAAAAATTATGTTGATCGGATATCGATAACTATGTGATCAAATCAGTTTTGTATAAAAAAAAAGACAATAAAAAAATAAACGGTTAATAGAAATTTGATTCGATGAAATAGTTGTCGATATCCGATTAACATGATTTTTTATAAGTATATAGTACTCGATGAGTTCTACACTTTGAACAGTTCAGATTATCAAAACGATACTTATGATAAACCTTCACAAATCTAACAATACCCTTTAATTTAAGATCGGAATAGAGAAAAGGCCGTCCCAATAATAAAAGTGTAGTTTCTATCTGTTTCGTAACCAATTTCCGACTTACTTGACACTTAAAACACTTTAGCATCAGGGAACTCACTAACAGAGCTAGAACCAGACTAATTCCTAAAATGCCTTTCCAAATATTTCTCATTGTCCCAATCATTCATGAAACGTGAGAATCCATTCATTCTTTTTCTTTTTCTTTTTCTTTTTCCTTTATAAAAAAAAAAATGAAATGGTCACAACTTCATCAGAGTTGGAATTATTCTAAAAATAAAATGTATGCCATTATAACTAAATTTTGTCTAATGTGAATCACGGTCAAAATAAATATGATTGATATTTTTTTGAAAAATATTTTAGACTTACATAAAAATTTTACAATTATATTCATGATGATGTGATATTACATGTGTCAATTTTTGATTTGTTATACATCCAATATAAGATTCCACCCTTTGCCATATCATTGTGGGCAGATTTGTGAGTTAAAAGAGTGGATATGTAATAGGGCAAACTTTACTTTACCCCATGTGATTTGGACCGAATGCGGTTTACCCCCGATATTTAGAAATCGCCACATAACCCCATGTGGTTTGTGGACTAAAATGCACACTAACTTCTGTTAACAAAACGTATAAATTTACCTTTATACCCCTGTCTTCTTCGTCTTCTCTCTTTTAAATTAAACTTGCAAATATATATATATATACACACACACACACCTATTTTCTTTATTTCTTCCTTCTTTTGAATTGAACTTGCATATATAGATAAATATATACACACATATTTTCTTTCTTCTGCCAACTCTAACAAATTTCAACTTTAAAAAATTTTAATTGATGCAAAACACTAGAAAACCCAGCATTTTTTACATATTAATATAGATTTAGCCTCTTACAATTTTTAAAATGTTGAATCCTAACCATATGTTGAAGAAGCTCGAGAGAATGACTGTGTATCCCGTGTTATGGTGGAACAAATTCCAGAGATACCTATACTTGTGCTCCTTGCTAGGTCGCAGAAGTAGAGCAGAGACCTAAACACAAAAACAAAGATTTGTTAGCATGATAGGTACGCACTAATTATAAAATAATAATAAGAATTAAGAAGAACAAACAAGCAATCTGAAATTGTTATATATATTCTGATAACAGATTTTTGGAG